AAAAGAGATTAAAGTAGTCAAACAAAAAACTATATTTCAGTCGCATTTGCGGCAGTCACCCCATTTGAAGCATTATTGGGATCATTTTTGACTTTTTTCGATTGTGACCCAATTTTAGGAATTGTATAATATTAGATGGAGATTTTATTAGGCCAAAATGATGTTGAAAATCCGTTATATTTTAACGGCTTGAAACGTCAAAACACCCTAAACATGCATAACAAGATAAAATGGTTAGAATCGACAAATTTATGGTAAATTGGTAAAACCGTCCAAACATTATCTGAAGACTCTGAAAGAGCTATCTAATCGCATGAGTAGCATAAAAAATCTAGTATTAAAACTACAGTCAACTCTCCACAACTCGATGTCCACCAACTCGATATTGAGTTATAGAACCATAGTAAACATTAATTTCATGGCTGCTGTAATAGCGATATTGTATGGGATTGTTATTCTATGATTCGATGGTCCCTTGAATATCGAGCTAAAGAAAGTTCAATGTATTTAGTAAACCACCTCATAACGATGTTAGAAAACCGAGTCAAGACCGACACCAGAATGATTATAAAAAAGTAAAAAATAAAAGCTTTAAAGCGCGAAAAAGGCCTCAAAACACTTCAATGGCTTTGAAACGTCAAAACACCAACAAGGCCTCACAATCGCTAAACAAGATTAAAACGACCTAGAATGGCATCATAAGCGTCTATTCTACAAATCTTATCAACAGTCTAAAAATGACAACTCCTATAATAATCATGACACGTTAAAATGGTCCTAAAATACCCAAAAATGGTCCATATAAGTCAAAATGGCCTAGACTTTCTTAAATTGATTACCCCTGCATTATTTTAAAATCAGATTTATTCTACATGCAAGTTAAAAAAAAAACTTATGATCAACAATCTGAATTTATGAGAACTACTTGAAGGTAGCCTGTCTCCACTGATGGGTCGCGACTCACAGATTGAGAAACGCTGCTCTAATGCTTTTGGCAACAAAGTGATCCTTAATTTCGTCAGCCGGTTCGGAGAGATTCTGAAGTTTCCGGTTTTCACTACATGTATGACGTTTGCCAGGAGAAAACTGCGTCAGACATGATTTGCAAATTTCTACACAGCCGCACAATTTGACAGTCAAAATGGTTTGAACTTTTTGTTAACATCTTTCTTCCGGATATTTGTGAACATCGATCTGATTGTTTATACCGGTAAACGGCAATGCACTCGAAAAATATGACACGTTTTCTGCGCTACTGTTTCCTACTAGTGTATTTAACGTGTATGACACATGAGTTACACGGGATCTTACTATAAGGATGAGAAGAGTACCTAAAGAGTCAAAACAAACATGGAAGGCAACAGCGATGAGAGAAGACTTGTTAGTGGAGTTAGACTTTCCTAACAAAATCATCGAAACTATCAACCGTGAGTATGTGAGTATTGTTTGTAGGAAATTATATGTTTAAATGAAGGGATTACTATACACATTTAGAAATAACTAATGTTACACTTGACGGAATCCGTCTTTAACATAAAAGAAGAGACGTAAACAAACATGTCATGCTATTTTTAGTGCTCCGAGACTGAAAAGTTTGTTGCTCGACGAAAAGTACATTTGATTGAGCTATATTTTGCGTCTGCTATAGCTAAAATTTATGACAAAATTGATGCTCGTATGTCACTCTCAGAGCACCTAAATTTACATGATTTTTTTTCTAAGGCTGTGAACCATTTGCCGAGTTAAATTTAACTAGTGGTTAAAAGTGACATTTCGAAAATTATTTCTTATGTTCGAAAATCTCCGTGCTGTCAATCAACCGGTTTTCGAGCCACGGTCGTCAAAATTTAACTTCTTGTCTGTCAGAAATAACCATGCTCGGATAGCAGGGTTAATCGATAACTTTCCATCTATCAAATTTTAACCAAAAGTTAAAAAAAATCGCCAAATGATTCAGAGCCTAAGTGTGCAGTTTAAATTTGACTAAACAGTCTTGAGTTCTGTAGGTCTAAACTGGAGTCGCTTTGAATGTTTGAAAGTGGATAGGACTGATCATATGATTTTAATACTAGAACGAAAATGAATTCTTTTAGACATCCGATTCTTTTTCTTTTGTATACGTGTGTATACGTATACTACTACTACGTATACAGGAAAAAAGTACAACTTTATTCACGAGCACAGCGATATTTGATTTGATAGGTTAAGTTATCTACTACGATTAATCTACTGTACCCACAATATGAAAATATAAATTAATGTATCTAAAATGAATAATATTTTGTTCATCGTTTTCACATACTGAAACCCATTCAATAATTATCTTTTAAGAAGACCGTAGTAATGTTTTGAGTTTCAAAGGTATTGGATAATTAGTTTTTATGTTTGTACGATACTATTTGAATGTAATATGCTTGACTACGATTTGCTCAAATGAAATTCCGTTATCTTTTTCACGTCAACAAATAAAATCTAAATCCAATAGTTATTCTATTAGATTGCTACAAGGTCTTTCATCAAATTCATGTGCATCACGCATAAATCTAGCATGTCTGGTTTAACATATTCATATGCAAAACATTTCATGATTATAAATCAAGCACATGACTGACGTTTAAATCACATGAAATTCATGTTTGCTGTAAGTGAATGAAGCATGCGAAGGTATGGCTGATTTCATAAGTTATACATTTGAAATTAATGTGTTTGCCACATTCGCCTATTCAAATACGAAACACATGAACAGCGCGTGTAGATTTTTTAAAGTGTGTAACATGCGTGAGCTGTAATCACGGTATTTTTTTTAGGTGGCAAACTCTCATTTTTTATGCCTTCCACCCTGCTCATGTCGTTGATCACATTTCATAAGGGAAGCGTAAAAGAGAAAGATATATCGCAACAAATTCTCTCTATCATACCTGTTTTCTAAGACATGGAGTGGAAGTTGTTTCATCAACGACCTGATGAGACAGCTTATAGAAGGTATTTCAAATCCCTGTTCAGAAATTTTCCCTTGATTTCGATGAACTTCGATGAAATTCTTTAAACTTTCCTGATGATGTTAGAACTTCTTTGAAGTTCGCAGAACGTCTCTGAGTTTGCCATGTTTTTCCTGGACTTCTCAGATATTTCTTTAAGTTCACAGTACTTACCTAATGTTTTTAAATTTTCCCTGTGGTTCACAGATCATCCTAAAGTTTGCAAAAATTTCCTGGCGTTTAAAGAACTTTTTGCAGGGCATGATTAAAATTCATATAATGTTGCTATAGTTTACAAAAAAACTGAATGTTGCTTAAACTGCAGAACTTTCCTAAAATTCGCCACAGTTCCAAAAATAAGGGAACTGTAAGAAGCTCTAGCAATTCTTTAGTAATTCAAGATGAGGGCTACCTAAACTTACTGGGCAAGAGTTTCTAACATCATGTGGGTTTCATTCCTGTGTTATGGCCATTATCGGTTAAACGATTTTCAATCAAATTTTATTCTTCGCCGTTGAGTCAAACATCTTTATTTATTTTTAAAAATCCAAGCAAATTTACCACCTCTCAGGATTGCAAACGCCACCTTCGCCACCTATTGAGTACGGGAAACAACAATTTCGGATACTTACTATCTCCTGGATTAATTCAATCAACCTTTGGACCTTGCTTGACTAAATTTATTCAATTCGTAATAGTTTGGTATCGTCAATAGTCCATATACGCCTTCATAATCAGCGTTTTAAACTTCAAAACACTCTTTCTCAAAAAAACCCAAAAGGAAATATTTTAAAACCATCACAGATTTGTTTGTTAGAATCAATACTAACATTCTTTGAAGAAAACACTGAGGTACATGAATGTTGCAAAAAAAGTGCCTTCAGACATAGTGTGCGCCCCCTCGCAATTCCATTACAAAGTTTCCTCGACGCCTGCTTAGCTCGGCTTCTTGTTCCACTTTCTTCATTTTTCTCCTTCGCGCGCGACTGAACTCCTCTCGAAACTTCTGATGCTGGCTGGTGATGACTGACACACTATTACCGGCGAGGGCCACCGACTATGTTGACGAACTCGTCCTTATTTGGCTGGGGACTGCCGTAGTACACCGGTACTGTACGTCTACCAGGTATATTTCAGCGGTTGTGTATTAAAAATAACAGCGGGGTCCTAACGGGGACAAACGGGTCACATTAGGACCTTTGAAAAAATGGTGATTACGGGAATCCGTTCCTTCCACTCACTTTACCCTTACTACCCCTATCGATCTGCTGTCTGCACAGTAATTCTTTCTAATTTCAAGGCTTTGTCTTGTATAATTATTTCACAAGAGACTTTAAATTATCGGCCGTTTAACTCGATGGTTGTTTGAAAATTGATCTGATCGGTGCATGTAGCTTAGTAGACTTCGGGGGGTGAACGACTGCTTATAACGGGAGACTGCACACATATACGAAAACTACCTGCCATGAAATGTCAACATATTAACGAGTACTCTACACGATAATCTTAACATAACGCGATACTGAGACGCAATTGAAAAATGAATATCAATGATTACAAGTTTTAAAAAATGATCCATCCGCTGCGATATATAATGTTGGTATATTCTTAAAAGTTGTTCAAAACGATCAAATCTGTGAGTATGCTTAAGATCTGATATTTCTTTCTTAAGCACAATCAAATGCTGGGATCTGATTTTCTTTTCTATAGTGTTGCTATCTTATAGATTTTGCAAGCAGCATACTTATTACTCGACGATTCGAAACTGACTTTGTTAACTTCTATGCTTGATGATCTGCTGAGCTTTCTATAAATGTTTCAGTCATCCCGTTTTTTGGGATAGTCCTGTTCGTAAAAAATCAGCATGCAAAATGAGGGGTACAGTTTTTGATGATTATTTTTAAAGAGTACGTTACTAGACATGCCGTCATAGCTTTTATTTGTTCTATAATATAATATGAACTGTTAGGACTTAAATTTCACGAATGATGCATATTTTTACCATAAATCCTCTACTTCCAGGGGCTAGTCGTTTCAATGCTGTACTGCTTCCTGAACTACGAGGTCCGGGGTACTCTGCGGTTACACTACTACCGTTGGCGAGACGAGCGCAACATCCGACTCGGCATCATTTCCAAACATCGAAGGTAAGTGCGAGTGCATGTGCTCCAACGTTATTTCGGGATATAATGATCCAATCAATCACTGGCGGTTTGAACATCCAGTTTCAAGTACTTTGCTGGTATGATTGAGCAGCATGGTAGCCGCGATCGTATTTTATAGCTTAGCGCAATCATAACAAATTTTAGCCCCCGTTGCTGCTGTCGGACGGTAATCCTAATCTTCAATTATTATTTATATCTTCAACACGCTACCGCTACCCACTCTCTGTGTGCTGGCCGGATCATATTTCCTGCAATTTTCCAACCACGTGGGACCAATGGAAAACGCTGATTGCATTTCCCGAACTGCACTACCCATCTGTGTGCTATTATTTCGTCGAACAACCCATCGAAATGAAAATAAAAAAAATACACCCTATCAATCATCATCCATCGTGAGGGCTGTCATCGCTCGACTTTCATCGTTCCACCGATTGGGGAATAAATTATAAATACTCGATCGCAATCCGAACGTCAACGGCAACGAAAAAGACCAACCATGAGTGGAACTGAAAGTATACGGTTTGTATGGCGTATTCATCGGCTTAATCATGCTTCCTGTGCTAACTTTCATTCAACACCATTCACTTACACGATTGTCACACTAAAATGCGCTTAAATTTGTGGTTCCGTCTGTCTGTGGGATTATTAATTTTTTTATACCATTTCGTCGTAATCCTCCTGCCCGGGATTCATCTCTCGTTGACCACGTCCGCCATGTGCTGGTGTAAATTATCGCCTGGGCAGCAGCTTGGAGGGATGCGAATTTTACGCTTCCAGATCCCCGTCAAGGATGATGATGGCGACAGCTGAAAAAGCGATGATTGATTACCAATTTTCGATGGATATTGGCTATTGAGCATCACACCAAAACCACCCCCCACTGCCCGACCGACCGACGGCCTGATGACGATGTTTATCTACTTTTGACGTCGTTCGGTGCATCCTCGATGTAAAGGAAATGGATCGTTTGTTTTTCGTCTGTTTGCATCTCGTTGCCTATCTGATGGATTAATTTTTCCAATCAAGAGTGCGGCCGCCTTGTTTCGCTTTAATTTCGATATGCTGTGGATCAAATTAACGACCAGAAGTTAATTAGTTCCGGATGGTCAACATTGATACATTTTTGTTTTCTGATGGGAAAATCCATTTCGGATAGAGAATTACAATAGGTTATCGGGAGCAGTGGCGGTTAATGTCATGAAAATGTTATGATGGAAAATGGTGTCATCAATTTCCTTCAAACAATTTAGTGGTGACATGCCTGCAGTAAAAATGTAAATTCATAGAGGGGGGTATTATATTTTGGCTAGGCTGAGTACCTAGTTCGACTTAGCAAAAAAGGAATCAGTTCCAATTCGATTTCTATGAATCTATTTATTATTATTCGCTACTGGCAGGCATGGAAAATCATTAACATTCATTTCGTACATTCATATACATTCATTTGCCTCTAACTGTGTTCATCAACAGATTTCCGTAAAATAATGCATGAAGCTTTTGTAGGTTTTGATGTCAGGTAGACCATTTTATCAATAACTCAAATCTGTATCTCTTATGCATGACGAACCAGAGTGAACAGAACCCACCAATGGTTTTAACAAATAATTGAAAAACAATAACTGTTCGCTCTAGTTCATCATAAATAAGAGATACAGATTTGAGTTATTAACAAAAGTTGCAGCTATTATCAAATCCTACAAAAGCTTCATGCATGATTTCACGGAATTCTGTGGACGAAAAAAGTTAGTGGCAAATGAATGTAAATGAATTTAAATGATTTTCCACGGCTGGCTATGGGGCTATCTCATTTAAATTGATATGGTTTAGGTCTGAAAAATTCATTCCTTCTAAATACGGCTTTTGGACCACTGTGTACTGATGAATTCACTTCAAAGATCCCCCTGCAGTCCGTGTCGTATTCTCTTGCCGTACGAATCTATTTGTATTTGTAAAGCTACAACAAATTTAAACATCATTTTTCAGTGCTCAATCTTCCCGAGGTAATCCTGCTTAAACATCGACTTGAAAAATTCCCCTTCGATCCTTCAGATTCTTATAGAAATCTGCTTGGAAGTCGATTTGGAGAAACTTGGGTCTGCCACCATGGCGCCTAAGCACAAAAGAAAAGGGCTGTCGCTTGATCCCCTTTCTGATGCAATTCAATTGAGCAATCAATTTAATATGCTTATGGATGACGAGAATCATCCATCATCCAGGCAAAATTCCATTAAACATTCCCGGCTTAATGCCAAAAAGGAAAACGGTTCCCCCTATTGTTGTAACCCCTTCCGATTTCCATGCTCATCCCAAGTAATTTTTAAACTTCGTTCAATTTTAGTTTTCACTTCAAATTGGACGGATTCAAACGTCTTCTCAAGTACCTTACTGATAAGCAACATACGTTTTTCACTTACGACACCAAAACTGAAAGTCCGTTCAAGGTTGTCTAGAAAAGTCTGCCCAGTGGTAAATACCTGGATCAGATCAAAGATGAATTGACTAAATTACTTAGAGTGGAGCCAGTCCAAGAAATAAAATTGAAAATTAAATCCCGTCCTGGTGATAAACGAAACGGGATTTCCAATGATTTTTATTTAGTTCACTTCAAGTCTAGTGAACTAAACAATCATAAGGCCTTAGAAAACGCTAGCCTTATTACTCTAGACTCTAAAACAATGAATGCAATGAATAGAACTTTCAAAAATTGCATGCAAGCGTATGAAAAATGAAATATTTAACTAAAACAAAAAACAATATATTGAAATTAATTTTTTCTTGAGTTCAACATATTCTACATACCTTTATCTAGCAAATCCATTTAAACTCAGGTTGATGCTTATCTTAAAATTCAAAAAACTTTTGAGAGAACTTTCCTTATTTTCAAACGAAATTTGAACATGCAACTAACAGCAGAAGTTTGACAGCCGACAGCGGGATGAAAGCAAAACAAAGGAACATAAAATGTGCACTGGAGATTTAGGAACACAGTGGTCTACAAAATTATGTGCTAAGCAGCTTTTTGAGTTTTGCCATTTTGGCCAGCTTTCTTGCCCAAATACTCCCCTGTGCCCTGCTTCAAGTTCTTCATCAATACCTGCTCCCCTCACTGTTAACAATGTTCAGTGAGTAAATGGATCTACCTATTCTGCTATTGCAGCTGGTAGAAGTCGTAATTCTAGCCAACATAATTTTAACGGAAATTTTGATAATTTTGACTTAGGATGCACTACTCCTAAAATGAAATTTTTACAGAAATCATTAATTGACATAATTACTGATATGTTGAAATCTAACTCCATGTGTGATGCCATTCAAACTGGAATTAAATTTGCGAACAATATTGTCATGACTTTGAAATTCAGTAATGGATTTGAAAGCCTTAAATATTTTGAAATGGAATGCTTGATCTCTTAAAGATAATGAAGATGGGCTATTTAACTTTTTGAGAGTTCATAACGTGCATATTGCCGTTATAACTGAAACGTTGCTCAAACCTAACCACAAGGTTAAAAGAGACGCAAATTATTTCATTTATAGAAATGATCGTCTTGCTGGAGTCTGCGGTGGCGTTGCCATCATTGTTCATAGACGAATCAAACATAACATTCTTTCTTCGTTTGAAACCAAAGTTTTTGAAACTTTGGGAGTTTCTGTTGAAACAAAATTTTGACAACTTACATTCATAGCTGTCTATTTGGCATTCCAATGCGTAGGCCAGCAAAAGAATTTTTTCAAGGTCACCTTCAAAAACTTACCCGTCATAGGTCTAAATTCTTCATTATTGGTGATTTTAATGCAAAACACCGCTCATGGAATAATGCTCAAAGCAATTCCAATGGTAATATTCTGTTTGATGATTGTTCGGCAGGTTATTACACTATTCAATATCCAAACAGCCCATCATGCTTTTCTTCAGCAAGAAATTCCTCAACTGTTGATTTGGTCTTAACTGATTCATGTCAACTTTGTAGCCAATTGGTTGCCCATGCTGACTTTGGTTCTGACCAAGGGGGGCGACACATCTAAATCTCAATTCTAAATGCTCAACAAATCTCACACTAGCGAATGAATCTTCGAAAAATCTTCTTTCTTTTCTCGCATCTAATTGCATCGTGCATCATCTTTTTGCAAGAAATCTTAAGAATCGTTATCAATCTTCTTTCTATCTACTCAGCGTGTGCACAGCTAACCACAGAAAACACATTTTTACCTGCATCGTAGATAGAGTTGCCCCCCTCGGTTCTGACCACCTTCCAGTAACTTTTGAAATATCCCAAGAAATTATCCCAATAGCTCTTCTATTACCATAGAGCTGATTGGGAGCAATATCGAACATTTATGGATTATAACTTCGATAGAAACATTCCTTTGCAAACCAAAGATGAAATTAATTATGCTCTTGAATCTCTGACTACTTCTATAGTTGAAGCAAGAGCTGACTCAGTACCAAAATGCGAGGTTAAATTCGATACAATTATAATAGACGCCGATCTTCAGCTCTTGATCCGTCTTAAAAATGTCCGTAGGAGACAATATCAAAGAACACGCGATCTTAAAGAAGGTGGTAAAATTTTGATCACAAATTTGGAAAAAGCTCAGAAACTTGCTAAGCAATTCGAGAGTTCCCATAATTTCAGTTTGGGTCTTACTAGTCCTATTGAGAATCAGGTTGCTCGGGATTATCTGAATATTTTCTCTCGGGAAAATATTTGTGATGATTCCTGGGGGACTGATTTGGACGAAGTAAGGTCTATAACTTAAAAGTTTCAAAATATGAAAGCTCCAGGTGATGATGGAATTTTCTATATCCTCATCAAAAAAAAACTCCCAGAGAGTACCTTGTCTTTCTTGGTAAAATTATTTAACAGATGTTTCCATTTGGCATACTTTCCGGATAAATGGAAAACTGGAGTTCCTCTTCTAGACATAGAAAAAGAATAGAGGCACCTAGAACGTTTGAAATAAATTAATATAGAAGAAAATACACAGATAAAAGAAAAAAACTTAAGTTTAAAGCCATTCTCAACAACTTACATAATCTTGGAATAACTCTTTTGGGTTTGCTGGGGGCTAGGGACTCACTCTGGCTGTCATTTTGTGCTGACGATTCAGTTATGTCAGTTGCACTGTAAATTTGATTCGGTCTTTGCCTTGATTCTTCTCCCTCAAAGTCACGATACGAAGTAGTTTCAACGTGTGTAGGGTTAGCCTCAGTTTCTTCTTGAAGAAAAGCTTGATCCCGTTGTTTGAGTAAATATTGCTCGCTTGCCTAAATATTGATTTTTTGCCTTATAATCCTCCCCGACGTCCAATAAGCTTCGTAATGATTAATGGAATATTTTTTTCTTTTATCAACGTCTTTTTTAAAAGTTCGAAGGTTACATTTTAATAAGGCTTTCAGGTATTTAAATTTTTCATTAATTTCTTATGTATACTCACATCACTCACTAAAGGTTTAGGTTTTTCTTCTTCCAAACATCATTCAATTATTTTATTGTTAAGAAAGCGCTTTGTTTATA